GGCCGGCGGCGAGATCGTCCCTGCTTCCATAGCCTTCGGGGGCTGGGGGAGAAAAGATGCGTCAAGGGTTTTGCTAGAAAATAACTCGGCCCTGCGTTTACATACACGAAACAAACAGTATATTCCTGAATCACCCGACACAGACACCTGCCGTAGTCGCATAGAAACCTAGTAAAAAGGATTTTTTTCCCCCGCTTTGTATTCCAAAAAAACCGTACACATAGCATTGCTAGAACGAGCAGCACATAAGTCCAAAAAAGAAAAGAAACAAATGCCAACAACGACAGCTCGACAAAGTGCGGATGATCCGCCACCGCTGCACCCTCCGGACACAAACCACCATAGCCTGAGGCTCCAATCTGCAGCATACCAAACAGCACCTTCAAGAAGGGATACGACATCTACGACGCTACTGTCCGGACGAGTCCTAGGGTTTCCCCTGGCATGCGGAGAGAAGTGGGGGATGGCTACCACCGACACCCTCCAAGAAGGAATGGTGGCACCCGTCGGTGTCACTGCATCGGAGCCGGACGAACCGGCAAGGATTTCTCCCGCACTCCAAACCTCACCGCCCAACCGGAGCCGACCAGCCAAACCACCGCCCAACACCATGCGCCATCGTGGTTGCGTCGCCACCCACGCTATCTTACTACGAGCACCAACACGAGGCCAAGAAGACCGAAGAGAAGTGCCAAGCAACAGGAGCAGAAGTCAAGGCCGAGCGGGAGGGAACCACCTCCACCGCCGTCATGCGGGAGGCCCGCGCCTCCGCACCGTCGCGATCGCCATCCGGACACGGCAGCGGGGCATACCAGGCCACCCCTGGCTCGGCCAGGCCCGAACGAGCCCGATAAGCCCCGCCAGCCACGCTCCAGCAGGCTGGCGTCAGCGCCGCTAGCACCCAGCCGCTCATCGCCGCTCCCCCGCCTCCCGAAAGTCACGCTGCAGACCCACCCCGTCGTTGGCCCACCCAGGCCCAGATGGGGCCCGAAGGGCCCAGATCTGGGCCGAGCGCCGCCGCCAGGTGGCGCCGCTGCGCCACCCTGCTGCCAACGACGACGCCGGTGTCCATCCGCACACCCGCATCGTGCCGGGGAACCCCGCCGCTTCCCGGCCCGTTGCTGCCTAGGAGCACCCCCCCCCCCCGGTGCAGCTCCGCCCCTCACCGGAGAGCCACCGGGAGGGGAAGGTCACGGGGTCGCCGCCACCAGCGTCCCCGGGGCCAGGCCGGACACGTGCGCCAGTGACGGCGGCGGGGAGGAAGGGAGAGGGGGGCTGGTGGAGGGGGGAGGCCGACGCGCGGCTGGTTGCCCGCGGTCGCGAGGGGAGGTTTATTCCTCCTCATAGTACACCCTTTTTCATTGCCG